TGAATCAAATATGCACTTTTATTCATTTACAATAAACTCATAAAGTACATCATTCTGATTGAAGCTAAGGGCATACAAAACTGTCTAACATCCCTTACTTCTAGTCTAAGTTAGAAGTGTTAGAGTTCTCTGTTTTAACTTGCGGAGGACAATTTAGTCATTGTTTTAACCTAAACTATAATAATATGGTCGACAGATGGAGAAGTTTTATGTTTTTCTCCATCGAGATTAAGCACTTTTGTTCTCTTTTCTCTCTTCTTCTTACGACCTCTGCTATCTCTTCTCCTTTTATTTTCTGCCATTCATTGAGACTAATCTTAGGTCACTTTCACAAGTAATTTGATGACGTCTTCAAATGGAATTCCTACATTGATACTATTAATTTATTTGATTAGTAATTATATTTTATCCATGTAGTTTATATTTCCTGTTACTTAATGCTTCTTCTATTTTTCAGGATCTTGATGATTTAGTGGAGGCAGCTCTTCTGTATTATGGTGAAAAGAAGATCTTAGACAATTCTCCCATTCCATTGTCTTTGGAGAAAGATAATGATCCTCGCCTATTAACATCACCATTGAAGTTTCCCGGAAAGTTGGCAGTTGACGTTATGAACAATAGGCTCTTTATTTCAGACAGTAATCATAACCGCATTGTGTGTCCTCTCACTTCTGTATATTAATTTAATATGACTATACTTTGTTAGCCATAATGAGAACACAGTTTTCTTTTTCTTCTCAAAGTCCTAGTTTGCAAAAACACCATGTAAATATGTATCAGAACAAACTTCAAAGAAGATGGAAAGCAAAGCTTTGTATATTCTTTGAGATTTTTCAGATAGAAACCTTGAGAAAAAACAAATGAAGAAAAGTATGCAAAGTAAAAAAAAGAACAGACAACGTTTCTACTTTTGATGTTAACTATTTGAAGTTTTGTATGGAAAAAAATGTTTGCTGATACTTATCCTTTCTGAAATTAGGTGGTTACAGATCTTGATGGGAATTTTATTGTCCAAGTTGGGAGTACAGGTGAAGAGGGTCTACAAGATGGCACCTTCGAAGATGCCACCTTTAATCGTCCTCAGGTAGGGTTTTCTGTCAACTCTTCTCAGGTTTAGTGCAACTTTTCTTCTTGGATCTTGTAGTGTATCAACAAATTCATTACTTGGTGTATCTCATTTTCCTTTGGAGATATTCGCATGCATTTCTTCACCATTTTTGTTGATAAATCTTGAAAAATTAACATAATGCCTTTTCCTGTAGGGACTAGCATACAACCCAAGGAAAAATCTGCTCTATGTTGCAGACACTGAAAACCATGCTCTGAGGTATGTTAGGAAATGCTGCTTTATATTTGGTGTACTTGGTGCAGTTTTCTGCTATTGGCCTTGCTTTTGTATGAATAAATTTTAGTAGGTTTGTGGGTTTAATTTTTTACTTGGACTTTGATGGAGTAGTTTGCCTAGAAAATTTTATTCAATTTTAGAGGGAATAACAAGGACTATGACAACATTTAGACTATTACCCCCCCCCACCAAAAAAAAAAAGAAAAAAAAAACAGACATTTAGACTGAAATATAAATGCTCAGAAAGCTGTATTCTGCATGTACTTTGTCCATTTTGATATGACCATGCCTGGTTGGAAACCCCAAGACTTTGATTAGCATAGGAACCAGGAAGCATAATTGGAGTCTTTTATCAGTTTCTATTTTGTTTTACATTTATTTTAGAAGCAAAGCTGCACAAACATGTTTCACTGCATATTTAACCACAAGATTAAGTTTTCTTATTGTTTTTTGATAAGTGATGAAAATTTTATTAAAGATAAAAATTGGAATTAGTGGATAATTCCAATTGTCATAAGCCAATACAAGCCCTACTTGGTCTCCACCAATGATTTTTTTTTTGAAAAGTAAAAGAAAATTCCATTAAAATAAAGAGAAAGTACAGGAGGAAGGTGATAGGAAATCACCCAAGAGAAGATGAGTAGACACTTCTTACACTAAAAAACAGCCAACAAAAGACTCTAATAAAAGAAAAAAACTAACTCCTTCGGAACCAGATCCTAGGTCAATTTCATACAAGTAATCTGCAAATGAAACATGATGAGACTAGCAGAGGAAAGATTCTAATCCAACCCTACAAATACCTCCTCTTGGTTGTTGCCATCTTCATCCCATCTCCCTCCTCCAAATACCCTTTCTCTTGAGCTTTATTCCTTCTTCTTCCTCTCAAACTCTTCAAAAGCTTTCTTGGTGAATTCCTCACCTTCCCAGAAGAACAAACCCAAGCTTTTACCAATTTCTACATCCATTTAGCTGCTGCCTCAATAGATACATTACTGGTTTTCTCCACATTCCTTTCAAGACTTTTATCAATGTCTCATACATTAGAAATGGAATCCTTCTCAGTCGCAGCTTCATGTTGACCAGTCTCCAAGCTTCAACCAAGAAAAGACTTTGGTTACGTGAACAATGTGAGAATGTCTCACTCCAGAGGCTCCTCGAGATTTTTTGGATATCACAGAATCAGCCACATTTAAATCTTTCTTAGCCTCCCCACCTACCCAAATCCACACCTAACTTCCCAATCACCACCTCCTTGAACAAAACGGTGAACATCAGTGTCATCTTCAGTCTGGGAGGGGATACCGATTCCCTCATTGTAATTTTCACTTCTTCCACCTCCAAAAACAATGGATCCTTCTAAGATAGCATCACCAGTCCCTCTCGAATCAACCTCCCTCTCTGTCAGGCCAGTCTCCATTTCTTCATGCAATTCCCTATCTGCATTAGTCGTATCTTCCTTTTCAGTAGGAGAAGAATTCTTAGACGTTGAAAAAGAGACCTTCTTCGAAGTTGCATCTTTGATTCCCTCCACCGGTTCTCTCCTGATTTGATCGTAATGGCCAGAATCATCCACGTTGTTACCAGAGCTTCGGATCACATCAACAGATCTCCCCTTTGGAGTTGCAAACTCGAAGTCCTCCACTGATTCTCCCCTACTTTGAGTGCCATGGCCAGAACCATCTGCATTGTTGACTGGGCTTCAAGTCGCTTCAAGTGTAGTCCTCCTGTTCGCGTGTCTCTCACTGGCCTTCTTCTTCTTCTTCTCTTTATAGTTTCTTAACTTTTTTTTTTTTTTTCCGAATCTTTTTCAAACCAAATCTACTTTGTTGCCTTCCTTTCATTGAGTGTTTAAAACTCTTTCTGTTAATCCCTAGCCTAAATGGGACAGTAGACCTTCTCGCAGGGACTGGTAAAGACTTCGGAGAGTGGGTCTCGGTGGCATCTCCTTTCCCTTCACTTTGCACCCCTTGTACATGTAGTGTTGGAGGTTTTCTATCTCCCCCTACATACTCTGGCCCCTTTTCCTCTTGATTCATCGAGTTATTCACACTCGCTAGCTTTCCTGGGTTACCTGTTCTATTCCACCTACATACTGCTTTGAACTCAGCATACTCCGAATCCCCTTCTCCAACAGGGCCTGAAAATACAGCAAGAATGTGTCCATCAGTATTTCTAAACTCCTCCTATGCCAGCCGGCCCTGGGTATCCAAGACTACTGTCATCAAAATTTAACTTAATAAAACCTTCTTCTGGGGGTATCCAGACTGCAACCAGTTTATCCTTCACAATAGAACTTCTTGCTACAGCTTCCCAATTTTGCCATATATCATCAAAAGAGAAGTTTGAGAAAAGGTCTAATGATTTAGTCCAATGTATAGCCCTATTTGTGATCATGTTCCATATTGCCTCTTCATTCCTTTTTGTACCATTGAAAATTCTTCTCTTCCTTTCTAACCACAAGATTAAGTGTCACCCTCTTTTGTTGATCTATAACAAAACTATCAAAATTTTGAAATCTTTACTGAAGATTTTGCAGATTTTCTTTTCATATATAATCATCTACAGTGATACATTATCAACTTTCTCCTATTTCTGTAGGGAGATTGATTTTGTTAGCGAGAAAGTGCGAACTCTTGCTGGCAATGGAACAAAAGGTTCTGACTATGAAGGAGGAGGAAAAGGAACCACTCAGGCAAGAAAGCTGAACATTTGTTTATTGTCCTTGACATCATATTTGAAGTAGTTTTGTTAAGAGTAAGAAAACAATCTTTCTGTTGGTTGCAATTTATGATTTTTTCCTCTATTTTTATTTCCTTTTAGCTTCTGAACTCTCCATGGGATGTTTGCTTTGAGCCCAACAAAGAGGTAGTTTACATTGCAATGGCTGGCCAGCATCAAATTTGGGAACACAATACATCAGATGGGACTACTAGAGCTTTTAGTGGTGATGGTTTTGAGAGAAATTTGAATGGATCAAGGTAAAGCTGTATAAGCTTTGTTTAAGCTGTATGACTGTTCTTCCTCCATATCTTTTTGTTTTCTATTAAATATTTTACTTTTAAAACTTGCCTTTTCAACTCAGTTCTACAAGGCCTTGTCCCACTATGTCAGGTTCTACATCAATCTTATTTTGCCATTGTTCTTTGTTCAGTGCCATATCCATTGTTAAATTGTAGGCCCCCAAATCATTTTTATCATTTCAACCTATGTCCCTTTTGACCTGCCCCTAGCTCTTCTAGACCTTTCAAATTGCAAGAAATCATTTTTATTGGTTTTGTAGATGATCTTCTATGAAAACATCTTACTCTACTTTCTCTCATTTTATCATCTATTGAGTTTACTCCCAGTTTCACACAATAAGTGATGAGATTTGATTTTATCACTTTTCTGTTTTTTTTTTTTCCTTAGTTTCTTTCATTAGCTTTGCTACTAGACAATTGCATATGGTGATTATTGGACACACTTTAATATGATGTTCTATCCCATATTAATAGTTGCATGTTGGGGAGAATTTGAGGGTGGGCCTTGGTGCAACGGTTGGGTTGCTCCATTGCAACCTGGGTGGCCAGGGTTCAAATGTTGGAAACAGCCTTCTGTGTGGCTGTGCCTGCAGGGGTAAGGCTATGTGCATCTGTCCCTCCCCAGACCCTGCATTGGCGGAAGTCTCATGTACTGGGCTGCCCTTTATATGTTGGGGGGAATTTGTCAAATTAGACGAAAGTCAGCATCATTGGTGATCTGTCTATACCAGAATCTGAGAAGTTTTCAGCCTACATAGGTTTGAGAAATAATAACTGGATGTAGTACTTTGTAAAGCCCATAAGAGCCTGATGAACTCTACTAATTGGAGTTGCTCAAGCCTTTAGCTCATTGTGTGGTATTCTCTGTTGCAACTTCTTGGCTTAGCTATTAATTGTTTTTTTTTTTTAATTGGTAATTGGAAGATATTGACATAATTAAAGGGATCAAGTGTTTTCTGGAATGCCTTTTGTCCCCATTATAAAATTTCTTATTTTCTGATATTTTCTTTACTGTTTCAGACTGTTTCTCTATCCATAGGTTTTGGGCCTTTTTCATGACATTTGTAAAATAGCTGAATTTGCATCTGCAATCGAATTTCCTTTTCTTTTTATTTTTAACTACTAAAGTTAAGCTTCTACTCTTTTCTAATGTAAGTTGTATGAACTGAGTCAAACTTTAACGGTCTTAACCCTTTTGGATTTTTTCTTGTTGAAGCTCTACAAGCACATCTTTTGCACAGCCTTCGGGAATGTCGTTCCTCCCCGGTAATATCTTTGATATATTTGACCTGCTTGCTTCTTCATGACTTTCGGTAATTGTCATTAACATTTAAACTCAAATGTTGTGTATCTGTAGATTTGAAGGAGTTATGCATAGCTGATAGTGAGAGTAGTTCCATCAGAGCACTTGATCTAAAAACAGGAGGCACAAGATTACTAGCTGGTGGTGATCCAGTTTTTGCAGATAACTTATTTAAGGTATCTTCTACCCCCTTACCCCTTCTTTTTCTCTCCCGAAAGAAAAGAGAAGTTCTATGAACATACAAGCAAGGGACTATTCTCAATATCAATGTAGAACTGCTTGTGCATCAATGGAGTTGTCTTGATCATGTTTATACTTAATTTTGGCAGTTTGGGGACCGTGATGGTGTAGGCTCTGATGCACTTTTTCAACACCCTTTGGGTGTCTTATATGGAAAAGATGGTCAGATTTATATTGCAGATTCGTATAATCACAAGGTATTTGCTACTGGACCATGGTTTACAATGTTGACATATTTCCTAATATATTTTGGATCAGTAACCAATGAAATTTGATTTCATTATAAGGAAGAAAAAAAATAGTACAGATTAATATCAGTTTTAGACATATGAGAAGCAAAGATTTTCAAACGTTACAAGATTATCTCAAATCTGCCCAGAAAAGTTGATCCCTATATACCCTTTGTTTTGCCAATGTATCAGCCATCCCATTTGCTGTTCTTTTGACCCACTTGAAGCTTGCCTCGAGATCCTTTGCTAAGCTCTTTATTTCTCTAATTAGATGTCTGAACTTCCACACACCTGGGTTGCTGTCATCCATCTAGGAAATTACTAATTTTGAATCACCTTCTGTTTCCAAATTCTTAAACCCCTGCTATTTTGCTAGTTTCAGACCTTGAAGTAAGGCTATTATTTCTGCTCTTGCTGAGTCCCCTACTCCTATGGGTCCTGAGAATAGGGTTACCACTTTCCCTGCATATTTCCATTTCCATGAGTACCAACCTGAAATATTTATTGGAATCAGCATATTCTCCAATGATTTAATATTTTTATATTGTTTTTATCAGATTTTACTTTGTTAATTATATCAATATAAGGTTTTCAATTTAGGTTTACATTATGAAATATCTTTAGTTATGCATAACTTATTAAAATATAGTTGACACTTTAATATCTTAAACTTTTATGAAAAGATAAACAGCATAATAGCATAAGAATCTTCTTAGTGTTATACTGTTATCCCAACTATATGGGGTCAGCTATATAAATCCTGTTCTGTTTAATGCCATTGTTGGTTTGGCTGTTTTTTAGTGTTTATGTTAGTCATATTTGTGTCTTAAGTTCTTAGTTATTGGGCCTAAACTTGTTTAATGTTTTATTTGTTTTATTTGTCTAGGTGTCCCATCACTAATCAGGGGCATTCTAGTCCATTCATGTAATATTATTTTATAATCATCTATATAAAATTGTAGGGCCGGCTGAAGAGTTTATGCCGCCTTTCTCAAATCTTCTTCTCTTCTTCTTCTTCTTCTTCTTTTACTTTGGCTGCTGTATTCCAGCAAACATGGTATCAGAGCTCTAATCCGTCAGTCTGATTACAGCCGCCACTTTTTCTGCTCTTCCCTATTCCTTTCTTTTTCCTCTCTCTCTCCTATCTTGGTCGCTGTGAAGAAACCCTAGGGCTGACCGTAGAACACAGCAAGGTCTGTATTTAGGGTTTCCCTTGGTTGTAGGGCCCAAGGGGAGTTTGTTCCAGCAATCGATGCCCTACTAGACACCTTGCAGCAGGTAGTAGCCATTCGGCTGCTAAGAGATATCTGTGTGGAACAGATCTAGGTGGAAGGACTGACTTCGACAGTCCTAGTACAGATCGTACGGGTGATCACTGTCTACGACAGCAGAAGTCAAAGCCCAGCCTAGTCCAGAAGTGTTCAGCACAGTACAGAGGTGGATTGTTCTTGGTTTCAGACCTGTTATGAGGGGTTCTCAGGCTTGTAACAGCTTCGGTAAGTCTGAAATAGTGTTCTTTGTACTGAGTGTTCAATTGTGATCACTGTAAGAGGAAGGAGATGTCTTCAATATCGGGATAAGTGTCTTTTAGGGATAATAGAACTGGTGGGAGGTCTCATAATCTGGAAAATCCAAATCTGCACAGCTTGCAGATCACCAGTGTATTGTTGGATGAATACAACTTCAGAGAATGGTCTCTTTCAGCCATGCTCTTCATTACTTCCCGGGAACTCACGGGTTATTTAGATGGACAGAAGAAGGAACCTGAGGTGGGTAGTGTGGAGTACGCAGTATGGCGTAAGGAAAATGCTACTGTTATGTCCTGGCTGCTTGCTTCGATGACTCCAAGAGTGGCCAGGACTGTTCAACACTTTCCCACTGCTGCTAAGATTTGGGAGAAAGTGTCTAAAACTTATGGACAGAGAAAGAACAATGCCAGAATTTATAGGCTAAACCAAAACATTGCTGCATTGAGACAAGGAGATATGACAGTTGCAACGTATTTTGCAACCCTAGAAGGACTATGGGAAGAACTTGATCATCATCTCATTCTTGATTGGGAGAATGCAAAAGACAAGGAGAGGCATGATAAACAAATTGAAGAGGGTAGAGCCTTTAAGTTCTTGGCTGGCTTAGACSCAATGTTTGAGAGCATAAGGTCTCAAATTTTGGGAAGGGATGAAATGCCAGATTTTACATCATGTCTATTATCTAGTAAGGAATGAAGAGGTTAGGAGAAAAGAGATGCAAGTTGACACTCAAACACAGCCAGCCGAACAGCTTGTTGAACATTCAGCCCTGATTTCTTCAAACCAAAAGGGGAGCATGCATTCAGACAAGAGGCATCTTAAGTGCTCTCATTGTGGTGGTGAAAGGCATGTAAAAGAGACTTGTTGGGTTCTTTATCATCATCTGAAACCAGCTGCGTTAAGGAAAGGCAAGAAGCCCCAGAAGAATCAAACAACAAGTGGGAATCATGTTACTAGTCACAGTGGTGATAGCTCGAAGAACACATCTACAGTTGCATCTTCTCCCATGGGACAGACTGCTAATTACTCCACATCCGGATCCTTGGGTTTCACTGCTGATGAGGTAGAGGTCCTTAGCCGGGCCTTAACCCGTCTAAGGACTAATTCCCTTGCTTCCACCCCTCTTGCCAGATCAGGTATTGTCTCTGCTTATAGTACAACTAGTTCTATATTGTCTCTACTTCTTGGATTATTGATTCCGGTGCAACTGACCACATGACACACATGTCCTCTTTATTTTCTTCTTACCAATTGATGTCTGGCCAAGATAAGATGAGAGTTGCTGACGGTTCCCTCTCCACCATCTCTGCGAAAGGGGGAGTTGACTTAAGCAAGAACCTCTCTCTTAAATCTGTTCTACATGTTCCCAATCTTACTTCCAATCTCTTATCTGTTTCGAAGCTTACCAAGAATTTAAATTGTAGCGTAACTTTCTTTCCTACTCATTGTGTCTTTTAGGACTGATTGACGAAGAGAACGATTGGGAGCGGTCATGAGTGTGGAGGTCTCTACTATTTTGATGCAGACATAAGTTCGGCCTTACAATCATCTGCTACCAATAGTCMGAATAATGAGGAGTCAATAGCTAGGTTACACTTGTGGCATGCWAGRCTAGGTCATTTACCTTTTTCATCATTGCAAGGGCTGTTTCCTAAATTATTCAAGGGTATTTCAAGTCAAAGTTTAGTTTGTGAAGTGTGTCAGTTGTCAAAACAATGTAGAACTCTTTATCYAATTTCTAGTAATGAAATTCAAGCTCCTTTTGATTTTGTCCATTCTGATGTTTGGGGCCCTTCACCCCTCGTTTTTGTGGATGGTTTTTGTTACTTTATCAGTTTTATTGATCACTGCTCACGATGCACATGGATCTACTTGTTAAAAGGACGTGATGAAGTGCCATGGATAACCATGGCATTTTGTAAAATGATTGAAATTCAATTTGACAAGAAGATTAAGCAATTCCGTTTAGACAATGCTGCGAAATATTTTGAAAGATCCTTAAACCTATTCATGGAGGATGCTGGCATGATACATCAGTCATCTTGTGCTAGTACCCCTCAACAGAATGGGGTTGCTGAGCGCAAAAATAGACACTTATTGGAGACTGCTCGAGGTTTATTATTTCAGCACAAGGTTCCCAAGCACTACTGGTCTCAAGCCGTCCTTACTGCATCATATCTGATAAATCGGATGCCATCCAAGGTGTTGGGTATGAAAGCTCCTTTCTCTGTCCTCTTTCCTAATCTTCCAGATTTTCCTCTTCCACCTAGAGTCTTTGGTTGTGTGTGTTTTATACATGTAAAGGATCCAAAGAAGACCAAATTGGATCCTAGGGCTACGAAAGGAATCTTTCTAGGGTACTCTCCTACACAGAAAGGTTACAAGTGTTATGATCCCGTCACCAAGAAGAAATACGTCACAAAAGATGTATTTTTTGAGTCTCACTCCTATTTTCATTCTTCCCAGAATCCTCTTCAGGGGGAGACTAGTGGGATGGAAGAGGATTCTTCTTCCCCTTCCTTTTTTGTTCCTCTTTCTGCCTTGGGCCTTCCATCTTCTCCTCCTGATCCTCCTAGTTGTAGCATCCCGGGTGAACCTAGTGAGGCTCCCATTGCACCTGTTACCACTCTTGATGTTACAGATGTTACTGAGGACACCAGTAAGCAATAGAAAGAAATAAGAATCACCTACAACAGAAGGAAAAAAGACCCTCTAACTCATGGCAGCAATCAATCGGACTCGGATCAATCTGCCTCAGCAACTCTAGGTAATCCTATCACTCATACTTCTGATTTGGATCTCCCCATTGCTCTTCGTAAGTCTACCCGTTCTTGTACTATCCGACACCCCATTGCTGAATTTGTTTCTTACTCATGTTTATCTCCTCGTTGTTATTCCTTTGTGTTTGCTCTCTCCTCTGTGCATGTTCCTACTAGGTACTCAGAGGCAGTGTCTGATCCAAGATGGAAAGAGGCTATGAATGAAGAAATGAAAGCCTTAATGAAAGCAAGGACTTGGGAATTAGTGGATCTACTAGAAGGGAAGAGCACTGTGGGATGCAAGTGGGTGTTCATTGTAAAGCATAGGGAGGACTGGTCCATTGAAAGATACAAAGCCAGACTTGTGGCAAAGGGGTTTATTCAAAAGGAAGGGATTGACTACAAAGAGACCTTTGCTCCAGTCGCGAAGCTCAACACAATCAGGGTCTTATTGTCATTAGCTGCAAATTTCTCATGGGAGTTACATCAGTTGGATGTGAAAAATGCTTTTCTAAATGGTGATCTACGTGAAGAGGTATTCATGGATCCTCCACCAGGTTATGGCTTTGATGGGAAAGTATGTAAACTGAGGAAAGCATTATATGGYCTTAAACAGTCTCCTCGGGCTTGGTTTGAGAGACTTTGTGGGGCCATGAAGAGAGTGGGATACACTCAAAGT